ACACACACACACACACACACACACATATATATATACAAATAATAATTTTGTAATAAGAATAATTTTAATGTGCTCGTCTAAAATTACACATCTTTTTAATAATCATGATCTCTTTCTCGAATTATTATTACAGGTTGGCAATACTCTAGTGATTGCGGCTGTAATTACCACAAGGAGATTACGATCTGTGACTAATTGTTTTGTGTCTAGCTTGGCTGCTGCGGATTTGCTAGTCGGTCTAGCGGTTATGCCACCGGCTGTCCTGTTACAGGTATGCATGTATTTGTCAGGAAATAAAATGCAATAAACGAGCGTGAAATGTTCATTCATTTATCTTCGATAATAAGTTCTGAACTTTCGTGTCGTGTTACAATATGAATCCTATTTCATTATCGCAATTAGTATGCATTATTCACAAAGAAAAATAAATTGTTGGAAAATAACGACACTCAGAGCGACATTTAATTATTGCTGGCATTTAATAATTCTACAAACGGGCACGTATAGTAAACTATAACTCCCTCCAGTCAACATTATTATTGTTATAAAGAAAGAGATGTTCTTTCTTACTTCGTACAAATTGCATTTTCATACATCTTATCAAATGGGATATTCATTGAAGCTTACAGGAGGGACTTGGGAGTTAGGCGAAATACTGTGCGATTTCTGGGTTTCCCTTGATATTCTACTCTGCACAGCCAGCATTCTCTCGTTATGCGCCATTTCTATAGACAGGTAAACCCGATCATACGAATTTCTAAATCTCGTCACGTAGTAACGTAATTACCGGAAAGCCATCCTGTCAACCGTTCAATCTTTTGTAGAATGATAGGTTATTCGATTATTAAAAAAGAGATTTTATACAACGTAAATTCTCTAATGTCTTTATGGAGGTTTCTTGATCAGCGGTATGAAAAATCAGCGGCAACAGCGGATAGATTTTTAATTAGAAAGTTCATTTACATAAAAAGTATTTTGTATTATGTTGATTTATGTTGTTTATTAAACGAATCGACATTGCTGCTTATTGTCAATGAGAGCGATTCTTCCTTGTATCTTATACATCTTTTTTTTCTTTGCAGCTTCTTTCTTTATCGCCTTCTTCTGGATTTCCCATCTTATGTAGAAAGGCCAAAATATCGCGCTTTATTTTCTGTAGTTATGCATGCATGATACAAAAAATATAAACATTTCTGTTTTATTATGTATATATTATTATATATAGGTATTACATATAGAGATAATTAAAATTTTAATTTATATTATATATTAAAAAACAATATATTACTTAAAATAAAGATTTATAATTTAACAGAATTTTAAATTAATTTTAAAAGCAAAAGAACTATAAGCAATTCTTAATTTTTAGTGCAGTTTGTATTCACGGTTGTCACTTTTTCAAATTTCAGAAAATTTCTGTTTCTTTAAATCTCTTATTTTCCGATAGATGAAAAAAAACTCCAGCTATCGTTTTTAATTTTGATGATCTTAATTTTTTTAAATGCTTCAATTTTTCTTCGGTTTTGAAAAGAAATTTCCAGCAGAAGGATTAAATGTAACGACTTTTTTTTAAAGAGAGAACTATAAGAAAGAACATTAATAACAATTTGAATAGCTTGAAGTGAGCGATCTCAGGCAGGAGAACCATCGATCTCCGGCGAAAAACTTTTCGGAAAATAGCAACCGTATTTGTAATATATATATGTACAAGTTAAACTTTTTTCTACGTTAATAAATCAAATTATTTTTTTTTGCATTGTATTCTGTGTGCGGTGAAAAGATTTTGATTCCATTGATTTATATACAAATTGCACAACTTGAGGATAAGTTACGATTCAGGAATACAATTTTGTTACATGCTTACTCAATACAATTTATTTTAAGATAAAAATTTTTCGAAAATTTTGCAACAATGTGTTTACTATACTATTGTCTTTTTATTACTCTGTATGCAAAGTATTTAGCATATGTACTTTGCGGAGATTTAGCACATAGAGATACCTAAAATTTACGGAGTTTATCGCATCATTATCGGTTTTTTGTTCAAGATATTTAGCCGTAACTCAGCCGCTGATATATAGCCGTCGACGTAGAAGCAAACGTCTGGCTGGGTTGATGATCGTCGCGGTATGGATTATGGCCGGCGCAATAACGAGTCCTCCTTTACTGGGTTGTTTCCCACGTGCGACGAATCGGAACATCAAAAAGTGCTCCTACAATATGGATTCCTCCTATGTAATATTCTCGGCGATGGGCAGTTTCTTCCTGCCTATGTTAGTAATGCTGTATGTATACGGCAGAATTTCATGTGTCATAGCAAGCAGACATAGAAATCTGGAAAAAACCAATGAGAGAGAGAATATCCGATCACGTCATAAAATCACGGTGAGAAATTTTAGTTTTTATTATAAATATACGATAATATTATTATATCTTCGATATATAACCCGTGTATTGTTTTCTAGTATTTTTCTCATGTAATTTGCTTTTATTTGCTACTTATTTTACTATGTAATTTGATAGAATCTAATGAGAGAGAGAAAGAAAGAGAGAGGAGGGGGAGAAGAGAGAGAGAGAGAGAGAGAGAGAGAGAGAGAGAGAGAGAGAGAGACAAACGTTTTTATTTATCTTGTGTTGTTATTTATCTCATGTTTGTTAAAATAAGATAATTTTTTAAAAAGATTTATCTTGAAAATTTTCAGACATTAATATTATTTAGAAGATTAGTACAATTACGCTTGTCTCTTATATTCTTTTTTGCACGCTTTATAATTTTATAACATTGCCATCTATTTAAATGATTGAGCTGTGTTATAGGAGAAAAACTTTAATATGATTAATATAATGACATAGTACGTTTTTCTATTGCTAACAAATATCTGTGCATTAATCTTCTTATGCTTTGTTATTCGATCGGTGGATGTTGTAAACAAATTGACAGGAAGATATTAATGACTTGTTAAAATACTCGATCAATATTCTAATTTACGATTTTATCTCATTAATAATAGATTATAAAAGCTTTTAAAAATGTGTAACATCGAAATCTATATATATAGACTCATAATAAAGAATTGAAAACTATATTTTCTTTATTTCTTCAAAAAACTCTCTTACAAAATATTTTTTGTCAAGTAGGCAGAATATAAAGTCCTTTTGTTTTTATAATTAAAAATAATATTCCAATACATATAGAGATAGAAAAGTGGAAATACAATGGATAATCAAAAAAATTGTTTACAACAACAAAGCAATTAATGCAAATATTATAACAACCCATTCCGAGTTCAGTAAGTGTATTTTCAATTGAAAGAAATAAAAACTTATTTTGCTTTTAATGTAAATTGTACTGTAATTCTAATGGCTCTATCGATCAAAGATTAAAACCATTCTCGATTTCATTGAAAAGAAGATTACTGAAAACCAATGGCTCTCTCACCAGCAACGATAAAATGGCTCAGGCATTAACACTATGATGGAAGATACGGATTCCTCATAATCCACATTATCCGACTTTATATAATCGAATATCAATCATTTTGCACAATACGTCTTATTGTCTTAATCGGATTTGATTTAATTACATACCTGCACACAGAAATGTCATTTTAATATTGTACAAAAAAAGAAAATAATGCGAAAATTTTTTTTGTCGTTCAATAATGATATAACTTGCAAAAAATTAATTGCTAAAAGTATGCAATGTGGATTATATAATTCTATTTATGATAAAGATTTTTTATAAGATTTAAGTATGTTGACTTATAATGATGACATTGTTTTATACTATGAAAGAATAAAAGTAGTTTAGCAAATAATTCTTTCGGTTACAAGCAAAACAACACAAATAGACATCGAGCAATTTATTACGGTAGCAGAATAAGAAATAGAAAGAATAAGAAATAGGATAGCAGAAAAAGAAAGAATAAGAAATGTTTCGAAAGAATCAAAGAAAACAAATGCTTGCGGTGTGTAAAAGATTTTCTCTAATACGTTTTTTTTACGTTGAGAATATTGAAAATCCAAAAAATTACAAAAGTGTATTACAAAGCTCACTTTATAATTTAATTAGATAACTTTTTGCAACGTTATAAGCTTTACACTATTTGAGCTTGATAAGGCTTAAATTGATAAAGAATACTTAAATTGATTTAATAAATTTGTAATTCCCAATATATCTCTCGCAATATCAATGCATAAAATATATGAAATTATTTTTCTACAGATTGATCGTGGCAGAAGCATCAAGGCACAACGTACGGATTATACCGAAAGCAATGTGACATGCGACAGACCATCCGAGGATACCGAACTAACAAATATGTGCAAAAAGTTGAGTACAATTCGAGGTAATCAGCAAAGCTGCATTAACAGGGTCGCTAGGGAGACGAAAACTGCGGGCACCCTGGCAGTGGTTGTAGGTGGTTTCATCGCATGCTGGTTGCCGTTTTTCATTCTGTATCTGGTAACACCCTTCATACCCGTACAACCGCCGGATGTTCTCATGCCAGCCTTGACATGGCTAGGTAGTCACTTTTTTATATGACATTCTCAAATATATATTTCTAAACATTTCTTTTAATATTTATGGATTGACAAATTTAGGTTAACTGTAATACGAATATCTGAACTATGTTTGTTTTAATAATTTTGAATAACAATTACGTTTTAAATTAAGATTATTTTAGATAAGTTAAAGTTAAATTGAACGAACAGTGATTTGTTACAATAAAAAGTAGAAGTAAACAAGTTAATTAAACTCTGATGAATTTTTTTAGTTTATCTTTAACATCTGTAGTTTGAATTTTATTTCAATGTTTTTAAAATTATAATTACATAATGTATTATTATTAAATATTTTCACAAAGTTAAATTAAAAATTATTTTATGTGTTTAGGATGGATTAATTCAGCCATCAATCCGTTTATTTACGCTTTCTATTCGGCAGACTTCAGACTTGCCTTCTGGCGACTAACATGTAGGAAATGTTCGAAGAGTAGACTAAACTTGGATGGCACAAATCGGAAATTACCCGCTTCGGTTAACTGGAAGAAAGATATGTCGAGGACGTGAAGTTCCTCACAAAGTTTCGAACTTATTCAATTATGTGGTGTCCGATATTATTAGAATGACTGTGATTGAGTCAAGTTTATTCGTAATTGCGGTCTCTTAATAATGAATGATACGTACGAGAACTATATACGTATCTTTTTGGTATGAACTTATAACCAATTAATCAGTTCTTATGCGATTTTATAAAATATTAATATTTCACTATACACACGCACAATACTTTTGGACAAGTAGTATACTTTTGAGGTTTGCTTAAATAGTCATTCTCTTTATGTGTAAAATAATTGAACATAGTTTTGTTAAATGCTATTAGTTTGGAATTATCAAGCTCAATTAAAATGAATTTAAAAAAATTTTATAAGCTTTTGTATTTTTTTCAGTAAATTTTATCAAACGATAAATATATTACAATAATGTATATGCATTTTTTATATGTATATAATACAATTTCATTAAGGCAATATTAAAAGTATTTTAACATTATATGCAATAGATTATGTATTTATATTTATATAAAAATGTATGTGAACTTGTGAAAAAATACTCGAAGCCTGTAGTGAATTCTCCTAATAAGGATTGGGTAGTTAACTTTTTTAAAAATTAAGTTAAAGTTTGAAAATTAACAGCTTTGAAAATTTAATTTAGTTAAAATACAAGTTAATCCAAAATGAAATTAATAGAATATTATAAAAATTAAGTTAATAAAGAAAGTAATTAAAAAGTTTAAAGTTAAATTTGGCCCAAACAAACAATCTAAAAAGAAGAAAAAGAAAAAATTTAATTGTTTTTGTATTTTTACATAATTTTTTGTATTTTTCTTTTTTCACAGTATATTTATTAAAGAATTACTGATTTTTTTTGTTTGTACTGACGATTACACAATAAAAGACATAAAATTATTAAATTATATTTATTATCCTCTTGCATTGTGTATGAGTTTAACTTTAAAAAAGTCAAATTAAAAGTTAATAGATAGTTACGAACGAAATGTAATTAAATTAAAAAGTTAAAAGTCTAAAATATAATCAATTTAAGTTAAAATTGATTAATTTTTTAACTTTTTGACTTAATTTTTAACTTTTTAACTCTTCAATACGAATTATAAATTAAATGCCTATAACGAAATTGGATCTTTTAATACTTAAATAATTTAATGTAAATTAAATGTACACACACACACACACACACACACACATACACACACACACACACACACACACACACACACATGTATTATATATGTACTATATGCATATGTATATACTATATTTGTAGTCATTTGAACTGCGCGCCGAATTGGTTTTCTGGATTTATAAACGCAATTAAAAAACTAAACTATTGTAATAATATCACAAATTAAATTAAATTAACAAACAATTTTTAATAATTTGATGCTCAATCAGGTATTATATTAAATAGATAGATGAAGAATGTGCTGAAAAATTGTAAATAAATTTATTGCGAAAAATATTACCTCGGCCGAGAGTCAAACCCGGATCTCTTGTATTTCAATTTCTAGTTCGTATTGTATTCTTGCATGTACGGTCTAAAATGAGATTCTTATTATTTTTAACTATTAGCACTACCCAATCCTGCTAATTAGCACATAATAATTTGGAAATAAAAATAAAAATTGAAAATTTATGAGTACCATTGTAATTAGTGATTAATCTAATAGAAAAAAATGTACGAGTAACACTTAATCTGTGATCAATATCAAATTGTCATTGTTATTATTTATGATATTTGTATATATATTTATTCGTAATATTTGTATACGATAAATAACAATTAAAATATCTCTATTTAATGTGTTACTATGTATACACTCTTTTTCCGTATCTTTTTATGCAAGTAAGTAAATACAAAAATATACACGTAAGGTCATTGAGGGGAAGATGCCATACTTAAGTTCTTTATTCTTGAATAACTTCTTAATCTTCTGTTATAAAATTAATGAATGAAAAAATATTATTTATATTCTAGCTACATTCATTTTTTTTATTCATACAAATCAAATGATCAATGAATTAAATTTTTGATGTTCCGTATTATTAAAAAAATTGATTTGTCATACCTTGCAAAAATGACATATTCCCCCTATATATACGGGTAAGATGCCACTTCCTATGGAAAAAGATATCACAAACAAATAATAATGTGATGCAATATAAACTTGCATATTTTACTTATTTATAGTTTATAATCAAGGATTTAAGCAATAAGAACACATAAAGGAATGATAAAATATAAATTGATGAAATATGAAAGAGAGTAATTTAGGAAGTAAGTTGGACTACTTTTTTTATTTGTTTAAACAACATTTCATTAACTTAAAACTATTTCGAATTGTATAAAGTATCCAAAATTTTAATTTGTTAAATCGTTTTAATGACGATTTCAGCAGGAAAAACTGTGTTTTGTATTTATTATCATCTTATCCCGAAGTGTAAGAGGAATATCCAATTGCGATTTTTACGCATATAAGAATATTATAAATTATAATTTATATCATCCACATAATCTCCAGGGAACACTAATTAAAACCGTATATCATTTGTTCGGTTTTACAGTAAGCATCAAAATACAGACCTTAACTATTAGTGAAACATACCCTTTGTAATATATCAAATATTACAAAGAGTATGTTTCACGATCTATCTCTTTTCGTATTTCGTATAATCTTTATCAAGATTTTGGCATGAATATGTTCATCTCTGCCGATAATTGTTTACCACGCTTTTGCACAGTCAATATAGCCAACGCATGCTCTATAACAAAATTATAAATAAAGTGGCGTCTTTCCTCGAATTACCTTACTTTATATCTTATACTTTATGTTTTCGAGGAAAACTTGCTACATGCATCAAATGCTTCATTCTAATGCTTTATTCTACTTTGGCATTTTATATATTGGGTTGTCCGGAAAGTTCGTGTCGATGTTGAAGGAAAATTGAAACGCAGAAAATTTAAATTGTAGTATACATTTATTAAATTATATAGGTTAGTCGGCACAAACTTTCCGGATAACCCAATATATATATATATATATATATATGTATCGGTTAAAAGTTTGGACACACTACATGATTTTCCCGATAGCATCCCGAGTAATGTAAATATAGAAATTACAACCTATATTACTCGTAAAAATAATAAGAGATAAGACATCAATCAAAAACTTATTGCAAGATACTGGCCAATTAGTATAAAAGCGCTGATTCGGAGAATCGCGTAAGAGTTGCAAAATAATAAATATATCGATCTTCAATTATACTTCGTAAAAGAAAATTATAATTATATTTTATCAAAACATATTAAAGATTAATATAAATAAAATAAGGCTGCGAGAATGTTACGAAAATCCGATATTATAATTTTCAATATAATTTCACGCATTCATGATTCTGATATTCAGAATGGATTCAAATAAATTGTGAAAAAAGAGCAAAGATCATCATATTGC